CCCCACCCCACCCCCCGCGGGCCGTCCACCAACCGCACACCAGGCTGAACAACCCTGGTCACAGATCCTGGAACACACAGTGCGATTTTTCCAGGAAACTGAAACGGCCTCTCACATACACGCACCGGCTCCCTGGGGACAGGCCCTGCGGGCAGCAGCCACGTTACAGTCTGAGTGACGTCCGAACCCCCGCCAGGGTCACACTCGTGTTGCTCAAGCTGCTGGGGGTTGCACTGGGGACCCCAACACAGGGACCCCACCTACCACTTGCCCCTGCCCCTCCCCGGGCCTGCAGGTTGGCGGCCGCAGCCCATTCACCCCAGCTCCATCCTTCACTTGTCCCCTGATGTGTCCTGAACCATGGGCACCCTGCAGGTGCTGGGGACACCATCGCACCCAACATGAAGGGCTCTGAGTGAGGAGGGGACAGAGGGGCAGTCAGCAGGGAGAAAGGCGCCGTGGCATATCTGAGAGGCTGCGTGAGGGACCCAAGGGGCGGCCGTGCCAGGGCTCTGGGGGCAGGTGCCTGCTGGGGGGCGTATGTCCCTCAGGGGCAGGTAAAGCAGTGAGGGGCCACCAGAGAACAAGGCCCCGGGCTCAGTTCCACTGCCAGCCCCGTACAGGGGACCCCAGGGGCCGGCCCCCCCCATGCCTGCACTGCAGCCTCGCCAGCCCCAGGCTCCACCCAGGCCCTGGCGGCTTCACCAGGCGGGAGACGACCCCTGCCAGCCTCTCCGAGTGCAGGTCCAGTGCCCGAGTGTTTTCCCACCAGGATCCTGAGGCCTCACATGTCATCTCCCCACAGGCCCACATCGGGGTGCCCTTGCCCTCTGTACCTGGGCCGGACTGAGGTCTGAGGGATGGCCCACCCACTGTCCGTGTGGGACCCCGGCCTGGACCCTGCATTTGCAGCTTCAGGAGGCCCCACAAACCTGTGAGCTACCAGAGGGCGGGAGAGACCACAGGGTGACACCTCAGTGCAGTCTGGACAGACGGTCAGACAGGCCACAGGCTCCTCACAGCAGTGACCCCAGCAGGGGAGGTTTTGGGGTGGGGGCACCAGGAGGGTACCCCCAGGACTCCCTTCACGGCTCTGCAACCCCTTCAGCCTCTCGGCCACCTGAGCGGGGTGCACACCTGGGCCACAGGTTCTCCTCTGAGAGCGGATTCTTTAAAACAATTTTCTATTCAAACTAAATTAAACGCACAGCACCTCCCACGTTCATGTAGCTGCGTGTCCAGGGTGCAGAGGGCAGCCAAGCGCCAGGCCACGCAGGGTCTGATGGCCTGTGACACGAGGCACAGTCCCACGTGGGGAGCCCAGGCCTGGGGCCCAGACACAGGTCCTCAGTGGAAGGAGCCCAGGGCTCCTACACCCCAAGTCTCTGTGGAGCCAGAACCACCCTTGGGAAAGGGGAGCCCCCTGAGCCAGGCCCCTAGGCTCCCACGTGGGGGCCTCTATGGGCCCCTGCTTGGGGCTGGGCTGCCCTGCAGAGCAGTGAGACCCACCCTTGTCCCCAGCTGCCCGAGGGTCCAAAACACTGGGCACCCGACCCTCACGTTGCCCGGACCATGACGCTGCCCCCTGTCCTCACCCTCACCCTGACCCCTCACAGTGCTGGCAGTTGCCCTGCTCATAGACAAGGGCCCACTGGCACTGCCACCCTTACTCCCTGAAATGCTGCCCCAGGAGCCACGTCCTCCTCCCAGGGGGCTGTGGGCGCAGCCCCTGCTCCTCTGCCTGTGGGATCTGCACCCTGAGGCTGGCACAGCCCCCACGGAGATGCCCCCAGGTGGGCAGACCCCCAAGGCCACCCCACCCCTGCTCCTGTGCCAACGTTGAGCAGCTCAGAGCCATCAGAGGGCCAGAAGACAGTGACTGAGGGCCCAAGGGTTGTCCACTCTACCTCTGTCCCTGCCAGACCCAAGGTCCCAGGGGACCAGCTTAGAAGGGGTCTCCAGGGTTAGCCCCTGCACCCCGGCATGTGTCAGCCCCCAAATCTCCTCAGGCCTCCAGGCAGCTGTCTCTTCTGAGCCCTAAGGCCGGATGCCCCTCCATGACAGCCTGGCACCCTGAAACCCCCACACACAAAGGATGGTGTGGACTGGCTTCACTTCTGGGGGGGTCCTTCCACTGAGTGTTCTTTCTTCCCAGGGTCGGGGGGGCCTAGCCTGCTAGTGCCTTTTAGAGGTCCTGGGGTCCGGGTGAGGGTAGAGCCCACCCAAGGAGCTATCCTAGACCTTGGGCTCCCCACAGGGACAGAGGGGTGCCCCAGCGTCTCCTCCCATGCCTTGGACAAGCCCCTTCTCGGCTCCCAAGGTACGGCTGACGGTGTCCATGCTGACTCCCAGAACTGTCCCCCAAGAACAGCCCCCCAGGGTGGCCCATGGCAATCTCAGCCTGCAGCAAACAGGGAGGTGTTTGTAGGACCCTGGTGGGCACGTGCCAGCCCCCTGCTCAGAGGCGAGCGATAATGGGGCCACTACCCGCCTAAGAATTTTCCCAGAAGTGTGAGTCCTGATAAAGCAGCGCCCGAGATCCTGTTTGGCCACCGCCGCTCCGGTCGGCTGGAACGTGGGGTGTGGGCAGGCGTGGCGGGGGCAGGGTCTGCGGCCCCTTTATAAGGCGTCCGGGCTGGCCACTCGGGCGCACAGGTGCAGCAAGCCTGCCCGGTGTCCAGCGGCGGGAGGGCCAGGTCCTGCGGTGACCTCTCTTCTCCACGCGCCATGCTGGGGCCACTGCTGCTGCTCGTCTCCTGCGGGGGGGCCGCGCTCAGCGCCACCGGTGAGTGGGGCCAGGTGTCCTCAGAGGCCGCTTCTCACAGCAGTGTCCTGGGCCTTGCCTCTCCGACTCGGCCGAGGCGGGTCGGCCGTGAGGACGGTGGCAGATGGGAGGCGCCTCCTTGCCCCGGCTGTCCTGCACTTGCCACCGTCCGGCTGGCCCAGCCAGTGAGGGTCAGAAGGCGCAGGGGCCCGGTGCTGGCGAGGAAGGGCTCGGGGCTGCAGTGGGCAAGCGTCCCGTGGGGACACACAGACACCTCCACAATGGCGGGAGCATCAGAGCCACGCTGGGCAGACAGCGCTGGGGCTCAGCTCTGAGCCAGGCACCCCCAGTCTCCCACTGGGTCCTGAGAGATCCCCAGGGGTCTCCAGAGTGGACGTAGGGCCCCGCGGGTGCTGAGGCCAGAACACCCTGTGGTGACCCGGCTCCATGGGCCTGGCTAAACGATGACCACACAGTGGGCTCCCGCCTGGGCTCCTCGTCTGTGAAAGTGGGGTGACATCTCCCCCTCATGTGGCTGCCGGGATGATTAAAGGAGTGGGGGGTCGCAAGGGCCGCCCACCCCAGAGCCGACCCAGTCTCACCCAGCCGGCCCCCAGGGCAGGGGTCCCCTTCCTCCGCCCGCCCCACCCTGTCCCTTCTGCCACACACCCGGCACCACCTGCGCCACAGGCCGAGGGCGGCTGTCACACTTGCCCCGGCCCTGGAAGGGCTGCTGAAGGGAAGGGGTCCCTTGGTGGCCTAGAGGAAAGCCCCTTCTCACTGGGGGAGCCCCCAGGCCCTGCGTCTTCTCCACACGCCCCTGCCGGGCATCCCCAGGTCCCCACCAGCCTCAGGGGACAGCCAGGGAGGGGTGCCAGGCCTGCAGGCACTGCTTTGCTCACTGGGAGCAGCTCTCAGCACTCAGGACCCCTGCCCAGCAGAGGCCATCTCCCTGGCCCTGGGGACTCCTGGACTTGGACCCAGACAGGCCGGGGAGAGAGGTGCGGGGGCGCTGGTGGCGTGAGGTGTGGTCTGCAGGCATGGGGAGGGGCTGTGGGTGTCCAGGGTGACAGCCACACAGGGTGGGACAGGCCTGTCTCAGCACCAGCTCTGCACTGGCCATTCCCTCCCGGGCCAGAGGCGCGATCTGGCGCCGGGATCTCGCAGCCGGGAAGGGGGCCCCTGAGCGGCCAGGTTGAACTGGAACAGGCAGGCGCCGCCAAGCGAGCAGAAGAAACGGCGGGTGCTCAGAGCGCGGCATGGCCAGTCCCGGGGCTGAGGGGTGGCAGACCAGTCTGCCCTGCAGGCTCCGTGCCGGCCAGGGGTCAGCGCCTGGGCCCAGTGGTGGGAAGCACGGATGGTCCCAGGGCAGCGGCAAAATGACACCCAGCCCAGCCTCCCGGATGTCTTTAAAGGAGCCCCCCTGCCGAGGCGGAGGTCACTGTTCACACAGAGCTGAGACCAGTGGCCGGGGTGGGATGGAGCAAAGGGGACAGGACAGGGCTCGGAGAGGCTGGCCCCCAGCGGAGCCGGTGGAGGGACCACTTCACCCTCTGGGGGCACAGGGGACAAGATCTGAGACATCCGGGGATGGGGATGGGGGTGGGGGGTGGTGAGCTGAGAGGAGGGGTTGAGATGGGGACCCGCGTGATCAGGGGGAGGAGGCCCAGGGCCCAGTGTCAGCCCCATCGGAAAGGCAGATCAACACGACCTAAGTGCCGCCTGCCCCAGCGGGGGCCTCGCCCAGAGACGCACGGCTGAGGGCGCCCAGTGCTGGGGGGGGGGCCAGCATCACACCCAGGAGTCATGGCAGGATGGAGGCCCCGGGAGGGCCTTTAAATTGGAGCCAGGGGGCTGGAGAGGTCACGGCCCCGTCACCTGCCCGCCGGTGACCTGGACTTCATCCCAGACCCACGGGAGCCTCTGGAAGGACTGCAGTGGGGAACAGGGGCAGCGGAGGGCCACAGGGAGGCCCCCAGGTGAGGCCCCCACTCCAGCTCCCCTGAGCAAGGTCACTTATTTGCCGGGAGTGGCCGGCGGGAGCCAGTGCTTCCTGCCCCAGGTCACCTGTGCATTTCTCTGGCAATGGTCACCAGCCCCAGGACTGCCTGGGAGGCCGATAGGTGTGGAGGAAGAAAGCAGGAAACCAGCCACTTTTAAAGCCCCTGGAGAGAGAGAAGCCCAGTGGGGCGTCCGGCTTCAGTCAGCCTCTGACCACACAGGCAGGCGTGGACTCCAGAGCGAGTGGACCTCAGAGGGAGACAGCGTGGGCCGAGCTGGGAACACGGGGTGCAGCCAGACAGCAGGCTGTCACCCCACAGATGCCCCCAGCCCCGAGCCGTCCCTAGCTCTCCCCTGCTTCCCATATGCCCACAGACCCCCGAGCCCCTCTGAGCTCAGGGCTCACCCTGCTCCCCCATAACAACCACCCAATGAGGTCCACGCAGGAGCCCACCTTCCGGCTGCCCCCAAACCCATGTGAGCCCGCCCCAGAGGCAGCGGGGCTGGTGGCGGCTGCCTGTTTGTCCTGTCAAACCCAGAGGGGCCTGGCACCTCCAGGAAGTGAGCGAGTGATGGGGGCCTGGCAGGCCCCAGGGCCGGGGGCCCCAGAGAGAGCTGGTGTCCACTGTCAGGGACCCCCCTGCCCTGAGGAGGGCACTTGGCCACGCACACCACTCCCCAAACATCCCTGTCCTTCCAGCATGACCCGGGCTGCCGCTCCTAAGCGCTCAGGCCCTGCTCACTACCCATGTGTGCATGTGTGTCTGTGCATGTGTGCGCGCGCATGTGCATGTGCATGCGCACATGCATGTGCCTGTGTGTGCACGTGTGTACACATGTGCACACGTGCATGTGCCTGTGTATGCACGCATGTTTATGTGTGCATGTGCACGTGCGCGCATGTGTGTGTGTGTGTGTCTGTGCACACCTTGCCCTTGGGAGAACCTTGTCCCCACTGTGTCTCCTGCACCCAGCAGGTTGTGACAGGTACATGACAGGTGCTCCCTCTGCAGACGTGCAGAACTAGTGAATGAATGGATGAATGAATGAACAAATGACGAACAGAAGTCAGAGGTGTGAAGGGCACACAGGGGCTGAGCGCAGGCCTGGTGCCAGGCTGTGGTCCCCGCCCTGCCCTGGGCCCTGCTCACGGCTAGTGCTTCGCGCCAGGGGGCAGGGGAGCAGAAGCAGGAGCCCCCAGCACTGACCAGGCCCTGTCCACGCAGGCCTGGACGACTCCCGTTTTGCACAGCCTGACCCCCAGAGGCCGACGGACTCCCCACACACAGGTGAGGGCCACGGCCCTGCCACAGGCGCCCACGGTCTGGGGTTTCCACGAAGGGCATCTAGCTACAGAGGAGCCTCGCCAGCCACTCTCCTGGGGGAGACAAGCTTGTGCTGCCAGCGGTGGAGGGTCTTGTGAGATGGGGGCTGAGCCCCACAGACCCTGGGGCTGACGAGGCCACAGGTCCCCACCACAGCAGTGACTTGCGTTGCTGTAGGCTAGGGCGGGAGGCAGGCCCCAGCTCTGGGCACAGGGGAGAAGGGTGGGGGCCTCTCACACCCGCCCCAGGAGGGTCTGGGGCATGCGAGGCCACTTGTGTCTGAGTGTGGGGCCCCGGGGGGCAGGGCGCGGCTCATGGGGCCAGGCCGCCCCCACTTGCCCCACCAGCCGGGGGCACACAGAGCTCTGAGACCCCACCGGCTCTCTCCCCAGCTCCAGGCAGGGGCTGGTGCTCCACGTGGGGGGCCGGCCACTTCTCCACCTTCGACGGCCACGTGTACGACTTCGAGGGAACCTGCAACTACGTCTTCACGGCCACCTGCAAGGACGCCTCCCCCACCTTCAGCGTCCAGCTGCGGCGAGGGCCCAGGGGCAGCATCTCCAGGGTCATTGTGGAGCTGGGGGCCTCTGTGATCACCGCACAGAAGGGGGTCATCTCCATCAAAGACGTGGGGTGAGCCGTGTGGCCGGGTGGCTGGGGACAAGGGAGCGGCCACGGGGCCGAGGGCTGGCCGCTGACCGCTCTCTCCCCACAGGGCGGTGAGCCTGCCCTACACCAGCAGCGGGCTGCAGATCACACCCTTTGGCCAGAGCGTGCGGCTGGTGGCCAGACAGCTGGAGCTGGAGCTGGTGGTCATGTGGGGACCGGGGACCCACCTCATGGTGAGGATGCCGGCGGGGTGGGGTGGCCACAGCTGGGGGCGCACAGGTTGGCGGGCAGGGCCGGGGGGCCGCCCTCCTTGGGGTGGGGGTCCTGACCAGCCTCCTGACCCCAGGCAGGAGCCTGGGCTTCGCTGGTGGCTCAGTTCCCCTCCTTGAAAATGAGGACAATCCCGCGAGTCAGGAGGCCCCCCGGGAGGGGGAGGGAAGGCTCGTGCCAACCTGCACTGTGGGCAGTGCCCGGGCCCCGGGAGCAGGGGTGAGTGGCTGTGCTTCTGGGCGAGGGGTCCTGGAGCCCCGCTCACACCACGGTGGTGCCCGTCCACAGGTCCTGGTGGAGGAGAAGCACATGGGCAGGGTGTGCGGACTCTGCGGGAACTTCGACGGCAAGAAGACCAACGAATTTCTGAGCGAGGATGGTAGGTGGGGGTGGGGCCCAGAGCCCTGCGGCCAGCGCATGGTGCTGACCTTGCCCCGTCCGTGCCCCCAGGCCAGCGCATGGTGCTGACCTTGCTCCGTCCGTACCCCCAGGCAAACTCCTGGAACCCCACAAGTACGCCGCCCTCCAGAAGTTGGATGACCCCAATGAGATCTGCGCCTATGAAGCCATCCCCAGCCCCCAGGTCCTGCAGGCAGAGCATGTACGTGAGGTGGCACTGCCATTAGGGTCACGGGAGCCCTTCAGCCACAGTGGGGCCAGCCTGAGGGGGTCCCCAAGTGGGGCTCTGAGGGGATCCCCAAGGCCGACACCCCCAGCCGTCCGAGTCAAAAAGCACCGGGTGTGGGACAGGGCTTTGACCTCCGTGACCCTGAGTGGCCCTCTACCCAGGCCCAGACCTGCGCCCGGCTGCTGACCCTGGTGTCCTCCAAGTGCACGGTGCCCAAGGAGCATTTCCTGCGGAGCTGCCAGGCGGACATGGCTGCGTGTGCCCAGCCGGGCCAGCAGAACTGCAGCTGTGCCACGCTGTCTGAGTACTCGCGCCAGTGCAGCATGGCCGGCCAGCCCGTCAGCCACTGGCGCGGCCCCAGCCTCTGCTGTGAGTCCTGGGAGGGCAGCAGGGAGTGCCAGGGCCCCGACTCCGGCCTTGTCCCAGATGGGACGGACACGCAGGGGGAGGGCGAGCTGGGCAGGCAGCGGAGACCCTGTGGTGCGCCTGCCCGTCTCACCCGGCCACCGTGTGCCTGCAGCCCTGGGCCAGTGCCCAGCCAACCAGGTGTACCAGGAGTGTGGCGAGGCCTGCGTCAAGACCTGCTCGAACCCACAGCACAGCTGCTCCAGCTTTTGCACCTTCGGCTGCTTCTGCCCAGAAGGTGAGGCCCCACTCACCACAGGACCCCTGCAGATGAGCCAAGGCAGGGCATCAGCCCCCGCCCCGCCTGGCATGCTGCCCCACCCAGCATGTTGGAGCCAGGACCCCTTACTGCCCCCACAGCGTTCCACAGTCACGCGTGCAAATCCACAGGGCAGTGAGGTGGTGCCCACTGGGGGGTCCAAAAGGCTGCTGGGAAGAGGTGGGGTTTGAGCTAGACCTGGGACAGGGCCTGCTGCCCACCAGGAACGGCCCCTCAGCCTGGGCATGCTGGCACGAAGCGGGGGGACACTGCAGCGTGGACGGGCCCGGAGGCGGTCACAACCAAAGGCTCCACTGGGACATCGCCCAGAGCCAGGGACGGGTTAGGAGCGGGACAAGGGCCTCCTGGGGGACAGGCCGGGCGCGGCTGCCCAGCAGGAGGGCGGGAGGGCCTCTCCTTTCCGCAGCCCCAGGAAACCCCTTCCTGCAGGTATGGTTCTTGACGACATCTCCAAAAACCTCACCTGCGTGCCTGTCGCCCAGTGCCCCTGCACACTTGGCGGGGTGGCCTACGCTCCCGGGGAGGTCACAGCAGACGCCTGCCGCACCTGGTGAGTGGGGGGCAGCCTGTGAAGGCACAGAGACAGGATGGGGACACGGAGGCCACGGGATCCTGGGGGCAGCCAGCTCTGCCAGCCCAGAGCACCCTGGGATGCCGCCTGGACCCGGCAGCCCTGCCGGCCGCTCTGGGTCACCCTCTCCATCCACAGTCGGTGCACCATGGGACACTGGGAGTGTGAGGAGCGTCCCTGCCCCCGGCGCTGTGCCCTGGAAGGCGGCTCCTTTGTCACCACGTTCGATGCCAGGCCCTACCGCTTCCATGGCACCTGCACCTACGTCCTCCTCCAGGTGGGACATGCCTGCCATGGGGGTCTCCCAGGGGATTGCCAGGAGGGGCCACCCTGGGGGTCTCCCAGGGGATTGCCAGGAGGGGCCACCGTGGGGGCATCACCAGGGGTCCTGCCACAAGCCCCAGCCCTCTGTACTGATCGCCCTCCTCCAGAGCCCCCAGCTCCCTGACGGGGGCTCCGTCATGGCCGTATACGACAAGTCTGGGTACTCGCACTCGGAGACCTCCCTGGTCGCAGTCATCTACATGTCCAGCCAGGTAAGGCTGCTCTGTCTGCTGCCGCTGCTCCCACCCAGGTCCCTGAGCAGACGCGGCCCCACTGCGTCCCACTCCTGCTGCTCCCTGCCTGGCCTGCAGGAGGGGACGCCTCCCCCGCCTCCCGGCCCCACGTGACTCAGGCCCCTCTCCCTCCAGGACAAAATCGTGATCTCTCAGGACGAGGTGATCACCAACAACGGAGACGTCAAGTGGCTGCCATACAAGACCGGTACGTCCACAGCTCCTGCCTAGTGCCCGGAGCCTCAGTGGCCAGGGTCCCAAAGCAGGCGGCCTGCTGAGCACCTGTTCCCCCCAGGCAACATCACGGTCTTCAGGCAGACGTCCACCCACCTCCAGATGGCCACCAGCTTTGGGCTGGAGCTCGTGATCCAGCTCCAGCCTGTGTTCCAGGTGTACGTCACCGTCGGGCCCCAGTTCAGAGGCCAGACCAGAGGTGAGGCCCTCCCCCACCTGCCCAGGGTCAGCCGGCTGCCCGGTCCCCACCTGGCTTGGCCATGTCAGAGGTGAAGGGGCCCACCCAGCCTTGCACGGAGCCAGCAGGTCCAGCGGCCACGGCCCCAGGCCAGCTCCTCCTGAAGGCCGGCCCTCCCAGGGGTGCAGCCAGTGATGGCCACTAGTCCATGGCACGGTTAGGGGGGGCGCGGGGCAGGGCAGGGACGCAGGTCAGCCCGTCCTCATGGCCTGGATGGCTCAGGGCTCTGCGGAAACTTCAATGGGGACACGACTGATGACTTCACAACCAGTATGGGCATCGCCGAGGGCACTGCCTCGCTCTTTGTGGACTCCTGGCGGGCGGGGAACTGTCCGACCGCACTGGAGCGTGAGACCGACCCCTGCTCCATGAGCCAGCTCAACAGTGAGTACCGGGCCCCAGGGGGTTGTGGAGTCGGCGGGAAATGCACACAGGCGAGCGGGAGACCCACCAGGCCTGTCCCCGCAGAGGTGTGCGCGGAGACCCACTGCTCGGTGCTGGTGAAGAAAGGCACGGTGTTCGAGAAGTGCCACGCCGTGGTGAACCCCAAGCCCTTCTACAAGGTGGGCAGGGCCTGCTGGCCGGCGGCAGCCCGGGGAGCCTGGGCGGCGGGAGGGCGTGCACCCATGCAGCTATCTCCCTGCAGAGGTGCGTGTACCAGGCCTGCAACTACGAGGAGACCTTCCCGTACATCTGCGCTGCCCTAGGGGACTACGCCCACACGTGCGCCTCGCGGGGCATCCTGCTCTGGGGCTGGAGGAGCAGTGTGGACAACTGCAGTGCGTGCCGGGGCAGGAGGGGGCCCCGGGGTCATGGGAGGGCAGGGGGCACAACGGGGCTCCAGGGCCCAGAGCCCTGGCCCTGCCCGGCCATCCCCAGGGCCTGACTCCCGCTCCCCTGCAGCCATTCCCTGCACGGGCAACCGGACGTTTAGCTACGACAGCCGGGCCTGCGACCACACGTGCTTCTCACTGTCCGACCGCACAGCCGAGTGCCACCCCAGCGCCGTCCCCGTGGACGGCTGCAACTGCCCTGAGGGCACCTACCTGAACCACAAGAGCGAGTGTGTGCGCAAGACCCAGTGCCCCTGCCTCCTGGACAACCACAAGTTCATCCTGGCAGACCAGTCCGCCGTGGTCAATGGCGTCATCTGGTGCGTGACCGGGTCCTGGGTGGGTGGCCTGCGGCCCCTGCCTCAGGGCCGCCCACTCACATGGCCTCTCTTGCAGCTACTGCGTCAACGGGCGGCTGAGCTGCCGGGGGCAGCCGCAGATGCTTCTGGGTATGTAGTGCGACCGAGGCGGTAGCCTGGACCGTGGTGTGCTGTGGCCCCCGAGCCCGCCTCACCTGCACCCCCTTCCCTGCAGCATCCTGCTCAGCCCCCAAGACTTTCCAGTCCTGCAGCCAGTCCTCAGAGAACAAGTTTGGGGCGGCCTGTGCCCCCACGTGCCAGATGCTGGCCACCGGCACTGCCTGCGTAAGGCTGGGGCGAGCAAGGGGCAAGGCGCTCCCCAGGGGGAGGTCCCCACTGCACAGTGTGGTGGACGTTCCTGTAGTGGACGCCCAGAGCCTCTCACGGGGCCATGAGACGATGTCCACAAACCTCCAGGAAAGGCGGGGCCGAGCTCTGTCCCTCCGTCCCTCCGTCCCTGTCCCCATAAGGAGCGTGGCCTGTGGGACTGGGTGGGGCGCCCCCAGCTTGGGGAGAGGGAGGAGGGGACACAACAGCCCAGCAGTGACACAGAGGCACCGGAACCTTCCCTAAGGGAGGGGCGGGTTTGCTAACAGAAGGCGCAGAGCAGGGTGGCTGCAGGGAGCAGGTCTGGGAGGAACGTGGGGGCCCCTCCCAGGCGCTGCTGACCCTCCCCCTGCAGGTGCCCACCAAGTGCGAGCCTGGCTGCGTCTGTGCCGAGGGGCTCTACGAGAACGCCAGCGGGCAGTGCGTGCCCCCCGAGGAGTGCCCATGCGAGTTTGCAGGGGTCTCCTACCCCCGGGGCGCCGAGCTCCACACCAGCTGTGAGACCTGGTGAGCCGCAGCCCCCAACACCCCGGAAGGCCAGTGGCCTGGGGATGTCCTCAGGGTGTCTGGGGTTGGCAAGGGGTCCCCCACCAACTCCATGCAGGTCAGCATCCTGCGGGGGGCATGGGTGGCCGGGTATCCCCAAAACCCCATAATGGCCTGCTCCTCCCCCAGCACCTGCTCGAGGGGGAAGTGGACGTGCCAGCAGAGCGCCCACTGCACATCCACCTGCACCCTCTATGGGGAGGGCCACGTGGTCACCTTCGACGGGCAGCGGTTTGTGTTTGACGGCAATTGCGAATACATTCTGGTCACGGTGAGGCCTTTGGGGGCACGGTGAGGCCTTGGGGTACACGGTGAGGCCCTGGGGGGCACAGTGAGGCCTTGGGGGGAACAGTGAGGCCCTGGGGGGCACGGTGAGGCCTTGGGGGGAACGGTGAGGCCCTGGTGGGATCTACCTCAGCGGCCCCTTCCCACAGGATGGCTGCGGTGCCAACAACTCACAACCCACCTTCAAGATCCTGACGGAGAACGTTGTGTGCGGGAAGTCGGGCGTCACCTGCTCGCGGGCCATCAGGATCTCCCTGGGGGTGAGCAGCCAGGCGGGTGTCCCCACACCTCACCACCAAGCAGCAGGTCCTTGCCCCTCAGTACCGCCTGCCACCCATGGCCCCCCTGCCCTGGTCCCCTCATCCACACGATAGGCAGCAGTGTCTCCCGGAGCTGGACAGCCTGGGAGAGGCGAGTCCTTCCAGAAGCCTGACTCAGCCCTCGGCACAGTGTCCATGATGTTCTGGCAGCTTCCACCTACAGCAGGCTCTAGAGGGCAGGCCGTCAGCCGGCACTGGCCACACATGTCCTTAAGGGACTCGGTCCACCCTGCCCGGGGGGAGCGTGGGCGGGGAGGCAGCTGGAGGCACTGAGCGGCCACCGGCCTGGGGCGGGCAGCCCTGTGACAACCCTGCCCCACAGGACCTGTCCATCACGCTGGCAGACAGGAACTACACGGTCAGCGGGGCGAACCCCGACGTGCGCTTCCGGGTGAAGGCCGGCTCCTTGCACCTGGTGCTGGACGTCACTGTCGGCAGCGCCTACAACCTGACCCTCATCTGGAACAAGCACATGACCGTCTTCATCAAGATGGCTCGTGCCTCCCAGGTACGTGCTGCCCCCGCCGGCGCCCCGGGCATGGGGCGGCGCCCGCCCGCCTGACACTGGCCCCCGCAGGACGCCCTGTGCGGCTTGTGCGGCAACTACAACGGCAACATGAAGGATGACTTTGAGACACGCAGCAAGTACGTGGCGTCCGGCGAGCTGGAGTTTGTGAACTCGTGGAAGGAGAGCCCGCTGTGCGGGGACGCCGGCTTCGCGCTGGACCCCTGCAGCCGCAACACCTTCCGCCGGGCCTGGGCCGAGCGCAAGTGCGGCATCATCAACAGCCAGACCTTCGCCGCCTGCCACAGCCAGGTGAGTGGGTTCCCGCCACAGCCAGGTGGGTTCCCGCCACAGCCAGGTGAGTTCCCGCCACAGCCAGGTGGGTTCCCGCCACAGCCAGGTGGGTTTTTGCCACAACCAGGTGGGTTCCTACCCCAGCCAGGTGGGTTTCCGCCCCAGCCAGGTGGGTTCCCGCCACAGCCAGGTGGGTTGCACCCCCACGGGGGTCTGTTCTTCCCCCACGCGAATGGCCTCTCACACTAGGCAGGTGGATTCTTGCCGCAGCAAGGAGAGTTCCCTCACCAGCGAGTTGGGCATTTCCTACAGCCAGGTGTGTGCCCGCCACAGCTGTGTGAGCGCCCCCCGTAGCCAGTGGGGTTGTCTCTCCGGCCCTATGGCCTCCCGCGCCAAGGCCTGCCAGTACAACCCCGAGTAGGTGGACTGCAGGACCACCGACTTCTGCCGTGAGTGCCCTCCTCCTGTCCACCGGCGCCCTACGCGGGCTGCTCTGGCTGCAGCGCTCCTCCCGGGGTGGGCAGCGGGCTATGTCCCGCGGGGAGACCCTGCAGACGGACCATCCCAGGCGCACACGCAGGTTCCCGGGCCCGCACTGCCCAGGGGCTCCGTGGCGGGCTCAGGGTCACCTGATGGGTGCCTGTCCTCCCAGCCATCTACTGCGGCTTCTACAACACCCACACGCGGGTGGGTGACGGCCAGTTCCAGTACACCCAGGAGGCCAACTGCACGTGGCACTACCAGCCGTGCCTCTGCCCCCAGCAGCTGCAGAGCCTCCCAGACACCAACATCGAAGGTACGGCTGTGGAGAGGGAGGTCTGCTCAGGGAACTGGTGGCTTCCCGGGCTGGTGTGTGTGTGTGTGGGGGGCCTGAGGGTCAAGGGTGGGAGAAGTGAGGGCGGGGCAGCTGGAGGGAGGTGGGGGAGGCGGCAGCACAGCGCAGGGCGGCTGGGCGTAGGGACCAAGGTGAGCACCCTTGTCTGAGGTTCAGGGGGGAGGTCGGGAGTGGCTGTGGGCAGAGGGGAGGAGCTGAGGCTCCGGGAAGAGGAGCTTCCAGCTCCAGGCACTGACGACTGGCCGCTGTCCACACGCCCTCCACCCCAGGCTGCTACAACTGCACCCAGGATGAGTACTTTGACCAGGACAAGGGGACATGCGTGCCATGCCGTAAGCTCAGTCCTCGGTCCCCACCCCCACCCGGCCCCCACACGCACCTCAGGCCAGCTGCCTACTCCCCAGGCTGTGCCCCTGGGGTGCTGAACGCCCCCCCCCACCCAGTCCCCAGACAGCAGAGACACAGGGAGAAGACCAGGCCTCCCCTCCCCACCAGATGCTGACTCACAAGCCCCCATCCCTGCCAGCCTGCTGGGTGTGCGGGAGTGGGGACCTCCTGGGGATGACAGGGGGCCTGGAGAGCTGCCCTAAGGTGGGCAGTGTCCGGGCTGCCAGGCTACCAGCATGGCTGTGGGGCGCTGGGAGGGGTGAGACGGGCGGGGAGGAGGGAGAAGAGGCCCCGCCTCCGTGGTGGCTCCACCCCCTGGCCCTCAGCCTCTGGCCAGCATCTGACTCAGGCCCTGGGGACACACCTGAGGACTTCAGAAGGGCTGGGGGAGGGGGCGGTGCCCTGAGCGCCCTTCCTGTTGCAGGTCTGCTGCCCCCGCCGCCCTCGCAGTCGCCGCCCACAGGTGATTGCACGTACACTAGGTGCCAAGGTGAAGCAGCGCTCCCCCGGGGCGCCCCTGGATGCTCAGTCGGCCCAGCCGTGTCTGTGGCACGGGCGTGGGCAGGGAAGGGTGTGCACAGGGGTGTCCCTGGGGCGGGCTGCCCTGCACTGTGGGGCAGTGTGTGCTGACCAGGGAGGCACAGGGGTCTGCATGAAAGCTTATCTCCTGGCTGACCAACGGGGCCCCATGGTGTCCTCGTCAGATGGCCACTGTCACAGCAGGGCGGATGGGCGCTCACGCTGTCCTAGGAGGGCCACAGGTCAGCCCCTGTGCCTCCCATCCAGCACACCTGGGTAGGGCTGCTGCATGGCTTGGGGGCCCAGCGAACAAGAGAAGGGGCTCCCTCCAAGGGTGTGCCCCGCAGTAACGGCCCATCTGCCCACTCAGGCTCGCCTCCCACAAAGACCACGCCCACCACGGCTACCCTCAGGACCACGGGGCTCAGCTCCACCGCGCCCTCGCCAGGCTCCCTACCCACACCTGCAACCCCCACCATCGGCTTTACGCCCACCCCCCCACACACTCCCACGCCCACAAAAGAAGTCACATGAGCACACGGGAAGATGGTGGCTGCCTACAAACTAAGAGAGAAGCCTCAGAATGAAA